AAAAAATTATTTAAAAAAAAACTATGTATAGACATATTTTTTTAAAAATGACAAAGCACACAGTAAAATAGTAAAACTTTAACTGAAATTAAAATCAAAACAGAAAATATAAAAATAAAACCAAATTCAAAATATTAAAGCTGCAGTCCGTAAATTATGCCTCTTTGTCGCCATCTCTGTTTGAAATCTGCACTTGCAGTTATTCGCGGAATAGTAATAGAGATCTAATCCATAAAGAGAACTAATCCGTACATATCATGTGGTTTAGTCCCAATTTTCTGTTTTTCTGTTTATGTTCCCTGATCAATGTTCAAATGTGAAAAATAAAAAATTCAATCTGTTCATTGTATAAAGCGATCAAGTCTCTTCAGAAAATGTGGACTAAACCGCTCAATACATTTGAATGAGTTTTATGATCTCTTTATGAACTTCTTGAAGTATCAAAGTGGTAGTTGTGTAGATTGTCGATGTAAGGAAATTTTCTCATTTAAAATATCTTCATTATGCCTCTTTGTCGCCATCTCTGTTTGAAATCTGCACTTGCAGTTATTCGCGGAATAGTAATAGAGATCTAATCCATAAAGAGAACTAATCCGTACATATCATGTGGTTTAGTCCCAATTTTCTGTTTTTCTGTTTATGTTCCCTGATCAATGTTCAAATGTGAAAAATAAAAAATTCAATCTGTTCATTGTATCAATTGCAGTTATTCGCGGAATAATAATAGAGATCTAATCCATAAAGAGAACTATTCCATACATATCATGTGGTTTAGTCCCAATTTTCTGTTTTTCTGTTTATGTTCCCTGATCAATGTTCAAATGTGAAAAATAAAAAATTCAATCGGTTCATGGTATAAATCGATCAAGTCTCTTCAGAAAATGTGGACTAAACCGCTCAATACATTTGAATGAGTTTTATGATCTCTTTATGAACTTCTTGAAGTATCAAAGTGGTAGTTGTGTAGACTGTCGACGGAAGGACAGAAATCTCTCAGGTTTCATTTAAAATATCTTCACTTGTGTTTAGAAAATGAATGAAAGTCTTGCAGGTTTGGAATGACAGAGAGTGAGAAATGATGACAATATTTCATTTTTGGGTCAACTAACCATTTCTCTTTTTGCAGTTTGATATCTTAAATTGATAACTAGTAAATTCCAGGTGTGAACATAAGCAGATATTGTGTGGCTGCCCAGTTAAACTTTAATTTTTCATATTCATTTGTGTGTTTTAAATTTGTACTGCACATAGAATAACATATACAGTGGTGTGAAAAAGTGTTGGCCCCCTTCCTGATTTCTTATTTTTTTGCATGTTTGTCACACTTTAATGTTTCAGATCATCAAATCACAGTTTGCAATCTTATGAGAGGAGCTTCCTTCACTTGACACGGCAGAAGTCTGGGCCAATTCTATTGAAAAAGGATAAAAATTTTATTTATTTTTTTAATTTCTGAAGAGACTTGATTGCACCGTCATTTAAGGGACAGAAATCTTATATTCTATTAAAATATCTTCAATTGTTTTTCAAAGATAATGAAAGTCTTGGCTGCGCAAACGATGGAATTTTCATTTTTTAACTAACCCTGTAAAAAAAGAATGTGGCCATATGCGTCTTGTGTCTGTTCACTTGTGCATCACCCAAAATGGGTGCTAATGCCAGGTGTGAACAGAGCCACTGTGTGACTACACAATCAACTTAGCAGAATGGTTCCTCAGAGAGATATTGTTGTGATTAATTTTTTTTCTTCTTCCAAGAAACCAAGTTCCTTACTTCTCCCAAGACCTTTAAAGACATGCACGATTGACCTCGGAATCAGCTGTAAAGGAGGATGAAACCGATGTTTAAGGTTAGACTCTATTTCAGAATAAGATTATCTATATTCATGCATTATCTACAGTATATTCTGTGTTAATGCATGTTTTGCCGAAGTTGCCTTATCTGTTATTTAGAGTGGGACAGCGATATTGCATCAATTTGTCTCCTACTACATTTGATTACACCATCACCACAAGGCTGCAAGGGACCTGGAAACATGTCCTCCTATCAAGCTGAAAAACATCTTCAAAAAGGTACATTTGGACATTTCTGTCACTATTGTCTGCCTCAAAATATTGCCAGATGTGTTGTATATGAAAGACTAACATAAGATCAATTGGAGAGCTGACCTTGAGTGTTATTTTTGTCTTTGATCTGCAGGCACTAACAAGAAGAATACCTTGAAGAGACATACCTGCTCGCTGATGGGACAAATAGGAACATCATTCATGGATGCTACACAACAGTCGACAAGTATCTTGCTGCAATCTTGTTCAAATCTACCTGTCATATTTGTTCATGTCTAGGTAAATTTGATGATTTTGTGTTTTATTAACTATTTTATGTTTCTGTGCAACACTTAATGAATGTGACTGACTAATTAACCTCTACACATCTGGTATATGCTACAAGGTGACGCGGAGAAGACGAATTGTTGAGTAAAGTCTTTTTGTTTTTTTTCTTTTGCGCACAAAAAGTATTCTCGTAGCTTCGTAAAATTACTGTTGAACCCCTGATGTCACATGGATTATTTTACAGATCTCCTTGCTACGTTTCTGGACTTGGGAACATTTCAGTTGTATTGCTGTCTATGCAGGGTCAGACAGCTCTCAGATTCCATCAAAAATATCTTAATTTGTGTTCCGAAGATGAACAAATGTCTTACGGGGTTGGAACGACATGAGGGTGAGTAATTAATGACAGAATTTTCATTTTTGGGTGAACTAACCCTTTAAACACAATACAACTTCGTGTCTTTTTTTCTACTGTTTTTTTTTCTATTCTCTCTCTCTCACACTCTGTTTTCTTTCTTTATTTGTTCATGTGCCACATTCTAGTCTGAATGTAGTGAATCAGAGCAATGTTTTCTTTTTATTGTATCTCAAAATTGCTTTTCTTCGCATCTTTAGAAAAGTGCTTGGGGAAAAAAAGTGGCCAATAATTACAACACTGTCCAGGGTCAGAGTCTGGGGTCTCTGTGATTCGAAAGAGGGTGAAAATGGATGACCGATTTCTCTCTTTCAGGAATGGTCTGTACTGAACGGCTGTGGCATCTTTTTTCTATGATGGAACATCTAAAGTAGGTCAGCTGAACACTTCTGAAGGAAAATCAGGTAGGCTATATAAACCTGCATATATCAAATCAATCAAAATATTCAATCAAACTTTACTGCTTTTTGAGGCATATTGCAGACAAATATATTATATTTGCATTAATATATGCATTAATTTTGCCCTCAGCTCACAAGTAAATTTATTGACCCACCAAAGCCAATCTTTAACTTTTTTTTAATTTTATTTTATTTTAGTTATTATTCAATTCAATTAAAGTTTATTTGTACAGCGCTTTTCACGATACAAATCATTGCAAAGCAACTTTACAGCACAAATTAAGTTTCTACAATATTTGATGTGTCTTCTAGATTTAAACAGAGAGAGTGTGTCTGAACCCCGAACGTTATCAAGAAGGCTATTCCAGAGGCATATCAATTATTATATTTGTTATTTTTGGACTCTTCCTGGTACTAATCCAGCAATATTTATTTATTTATCATATATATATACACTGGCGCTCCATAGAGAAGGATTTCAGACACATATAAAGACATCCGCTCTGACCCAGGACGGGTTTCTGCGATAAGCATTTATAGTAAGTTCTGCACATGGAGTTTTTTCAGTCTACAGGTTCCTTTTTACACGAGTGTGTCATTTAGTCTATTTTTGTGTGTGT